CTTGGTTTCAGAAACTTTTTCTACCTCCGGCTCCGGCTCCGGCGACACCCCCCATCTCTTCCTTCCTGAATCGACTTCCTCCATGATCTCCCTATCTTCATCATCCTGCATAATTTGCCAACCATCCCAATTATGTTCGTTTTCAGTTTCACCCCAATTTGATTCATCTGACCATTCTTCATCCTCCGAATCTTCATTTCTTTATCACCATTCTTCATTCGCGTTATAACATCTAATCAAGCTCTCATAATTTTTTTTCAACTGTTTCCTAAGGGGTTTTTTAAATGTTAACAGCACAAGGAATTTTAAAAACTCATCTACTTATCTCATTTACAAGAAGAATAGATTGCGAGCCAATAGCACTGCCTCCTACTTCTCAATTACTTTAAAGCAGTAGGATATTAGCAATCAATGAACGACTGATTCATGAGGCATGCCCCTTCCAAGAATTGCATTCAAAGAATGAGATCACACCAATCACAAACTACATTAGTTACACACATTTGCAAACTTTACGAATGGAAGAAAAATTGCTTTTCTTAAAAGAAAAAAAAAAATCAGAACAAGCATGCCATCCAAACCGAGCTTGAAATAAATTTCAAGACACTTTTGTCAATTTGTTACAAAGAAAACATGAGACTTGCACAATGCAAGTTCAGCCAAGTCTACCTTAACTCGTGGAGGACAATTTGTGTCTTTTTCTTTTAAGATTACCAATTAAATTCAACTATAAAGAACATCTTGTTGGAAGAAAGTCCAACCCCATGTGTGAACCCATGGACTTTTTTGTGTGAAAGTTTGCTTCACCAACCTAGCTAGTTGTGGGCTAGGATTGCTTTGTTGAAATCATGCAAGATTGCATGTTGCGCCATTTAATGGGCAAAGAAAATCTTGGCCAGGTGGTAATGAGGCAAAGAAAAATGGTGCATGGGTGGTTGGATTTTTCACTATAAATACCCATGCATGCAAAGGCAATGGGCAAGCAAGAGTAGGAGAAAGCAAGAGAAATTGAGTGAGAGCTCTTGTGAGAGAAAAGAAAGAGAGAAATTGTGAGAGAAAAGAAAGAGAGAAATTATGAGAAATCCTTGTGTAGATTAAGAGGGAGTATTAAGGAGAATTTGGGAGCTTCTATACATTGAAACTAGGGTGTTGAATGCTTCTTGAGTGAAAGAACTTCTAAATTATTGTACTGTTTTTTCTTAATAGTGGATTTATTTCTCTCTTTCCTGTGGACGTAGATTTGTTGAGAAGTGTACAAGTCGAACCACGTTAAATTATTGTCTCAATTTCATTATCGCTTCCGTTTATGTGGGATTATGGTGCTCGAAATTCCCAACACATCTCATAACTCAGAAGTTATAACACAGGATAAAGGATCGATTAAGATTCTCCCAATCTTTATTAAAGCAACTCTGATCAAATAAAGGTGCACAGAAAGCAGTTCTTGCCTCAAAATCTATCTTCTAACAATCAGTAGACACCCTGTCACTGTTCTCTGTTTTCTTTTTGCAAAAGTGGTTTCCCACAAAGACAATGGGACTTTGGAACAATCATGAAAGTAAGAGCCATCTGCCCCTTTTCACGTAGCATTTAAAGCTCGTGCTTTCCTCAAAAAATCTGACATAAACGTGATAAAATCCTAGTTGGATATCAAATTTAGAATTTCCAATAATGATTCGGCCAAGGACAGATTACCATGAAATGCCAGAGGAAGGAAAAATCAAGCAACTTAATATCAACAGAGCCAAAGCAGACAATCAGATTACAACTGCTAAGATAGTTGGCATGGCGAAAAAATTTGGGACAATATTGTTTACAAATAGAAAACTTTTAAAGCTCTCTCATGGTGTTGGAATATTAGTAGACCACATTCCGGATGAATTACTTCAATTTCCTATTTTTGTTCTGTATCCAGCCCAGACATACCTTACCCTTTTTAGAACCAGAACTGAAGTCTTTAATGCTCCCTTTAGAAGCTTCCTTTTGTTCAAAGCTAAAAGGGCCAATCTAATGATTTAAGGAGGATTAGAAATGAACAGGTTATATCAACCAATTTAAGGTTGTTGAGCACCAACATCTAAGCATTAATAGGCACATAGTTGCAAAATTTTATATTGAAGGCATATGACAAATCTGAAACACAACCAAATTTACTCCTTAAAAATTGATAATTAAATTACAGTCTATGGGAGGAGTAAAATTATGTAGTTTAGCTTCCCTAGTCGCTTAAGTTCTCTTCCAGCTGGTTACAAAAATTTCAGGTTAGCTTCAATGGGCCATGCCTGCCAATGTGGAAAGAACAAAGTTGTAAGAGTAGGAAGCTATTTCTATAATAGATGCAACATGCCAATATAGCAAGGGGCCATAGCATTTCACAAAGTCAAAGCTAAAACAGCAAACCTCATGCTCTGTTTTTCTAGACAAAAGAGCATAGAAAATAACACAGATGGATACAAAGAAAAACTTGATTATCAAAAAAAGGTTTCACTGTTTCAAATTTAAGGCATGGGGAGAAAGGACAGTTTGACAAATTACATGACATAGAGAAAGTTAAATAAAAAAACCATCCAAAAGAAAACTAATTAAGCACACAAGACAAGAAAATAGCATAATTAAACAAGGCAAAAACTATTAAATGGTAATTAAGCAGCACCTTGACACCCAGCAAACGAAGTGGTGTAATCTGGCCAGGAACGATACACTCAGGGCCTGCTGCCTCCATTGTCGCCTCCCTCGCCAACCCACTTCCTAAGGGATTCGGATGCTGCAAATAATCCCAAGACCAATAAGAAGTAGTAAGAACCCATAAACAAATAAAAGAATTTAGATGTTGGAGAGACAGAGAGAAGGCTGCTGACCCTCATGAGTGAGAGTGCATAATTGGTCTGCGGATTTTGTGGGACGCGGAGAACAGTAGAAAGGTGGATTTTTGGGATGGCATTTCTGTCTGAGACCCTCCATGGGACGTCATTCTGCAGTGAGGCCTCTCCTTTCTCCGACATAAGGATGCCCTTAATTACGTTGTCACCAATTGCTTTCGCTTTTGCCGCCCTTTATTTGACTGCCTGTAATGAGAAGACAATTGTTACGGATAGACAACGGTGGCTATGTTGGGAATCAAAGGAATGAGTGGAGTACATGGTGAAGGCAAGGCAAGTAGGGATAGCTTCCCTGGGACATGGGGAAAAAGCGGATTGGAGAATGGAAGTTCAGTCTGGACTGCACCATGAAAGTGCTCAAATACCATTCACGAATCTTCTTTTTGTTTTGATTAATGGTAGATATTTTTTATATTTTCATAACGCGATTTTATTATACTCCAAATAGCTTGGGGTTTTTCTCTCTTTTTTCTCGGTAATTAAGCTAATAATTTTAATATCTGTTCTTAGGGAAGGAAAATTGTTAATCCTAAAGCTCGAACATCAAACCTCCAGACGGTGCCTTCATTTTGCTTTCCACGAGAAGCATGACCACTAAGGCCACACTGGCGAAAAGCAAAACCATTTCGTTTGGGAGAATGGAAAAATTGGAAACAAAAAGTAATGAAAGATTTTTCATTTATTTGTAATGCAAGATGAATTAGTATTGATATGGTATAGTTATTTGTTCTCTTAACTATAAATCTATTTAACACACAAGTATATTAAACACAAGTGAATCAAATGTAAATTTCAACTTTTAAATATACTACAAACTAAGAAAATAAATATCCTGATACTACCATGTTGGGTGAACAAAAAGCGTGACCAAAAAAATACAAGCCATTCCTCACAGATCATTCTTAATCTGCAGCATGTTGATGTATCTAACAAATTCCATACATTTTACATTTTACGCTGCTCTTTTCTGATATCTTAAATGATCGGAGTAAGGGCAAAAAATTTAAAGACGAAAAAATTAAGAAGAGAAAGAATACTACCAAAATGGGGAGGGGGCCGCAGTCATCACCATCCTCTATCCTCCAACCATTCTGATTAATCCGTTATGCTGCAACCATATCCTCACCGCCTCTGTGTGCAGCCACGTCTGCCAATCTTTTCCATGTCATTTGTCGTTGCTCTTCCACGTCTCTGGCTCTGGCCTCTTTCTCTGCATACTGCATCTGACACTCTTCAAACAACTCGGCATCCATGTCCATGAACATCTTCCGCACATTGACAGTCAACCCATTAACTGCCTGGTTCCAGTGACTCTTGATATTCTTTTCCAATGCCTCAAAAATGATGGGCAATATGACTTTCCGATTCTGGGCAATTAAGCTCACGATATGCTCATTGTTCCACAGGAATAGTGCTCTCTCTGCAACCTGCAATGCAACTCTACTAAGCTAAAGTCTGCAGAAACTTCCTGATTCATTCTATAATTACAAGCAAGTTAAATAAATCAATGCTGCACCAACGGGCTTCTCTCCAATAATTCTAAAATGCTAACAAAGACAATAATATGACAATGTTACTATTAGAAGTTAGCTAATGATTCCAGAATATGCTCCTATAAAATGTAATCACAGCATGTAACTCGAGTTTACATTGACAAGATCAGTTAACCAATATCCAACTATATTTACCTCAAGCCATACATTAGATAAGTACATGTAGTAACACATAACAGCTTGCATTTATGCAGATTATAATAACACCTTTCACCTATAACTCACTAGAAGCTTCAAATTCAACATTAAGTAACATTTTGCAACACCAATGTTAATAAGGTATGCCACTTTGATAATCTCTCCTGGCAAATTGCACCTTGGAAAAAAGATTAATTATTAAAAGAATTCCTCTGAGAGCATGAACTTTACCAACAAATGTCTAAATATTTTCCAATGAACAAATTTCTGCCAAATGAAGAACACTTAAAACCACAAAACAAGCTGACTGGTACCAAGGGAACATCTCAGCTAAAAGATCAAAGAAAAGAAACTAATACACAAACTGACAAATAGATGATCAAAGCTAAATGACAGGAGATTGATTATGAACGAACCGTGTGACATGTGGTGGCTAGAATACAAAGAATCAAGAGACTGGAGAGGTTGCTAAAAAATATATTGCATCCATCTAGTACATAAGCCAATAACTAAAAACCACTAAACATTGCTTGTAACAAACATTGGTTGAGAAGAAACTGTAATGCATAAATCCAAAATTAATGAAACTGAATCATTAAGAATTAGTACCATATAATATCACATGGTTCAAATGGCAATAAGCCAGTCAAGAAACAGGTAGAGAATGGTGACTTAAACATTTTTATTTTATTCATTCCTTCATTCATTCATTTTAGTACATTTGTCGATGCTTAATTTGAATGGACTGTCAATGCATAAACTTTAGAAATAACTATGAGCAATAAACACCAAATTCAGGCACTTATAAGCATTCAAACACTGAAAAACATCTTTCTAAAGTGGTTAGGATAATGAGAGAAATATGGGAACATGTAGAAGTAGAAGAACCTAAGAAAAAAATAACTAATGATGATTTTATAATCTAAGCATAAAGGCATTCATTTCCCATGCCTGCCAAAAACCACTGTAGGTTCTAAGATACAGAGAAGAGGACACTTATTTTCAAACAAGATCATTCAATACAAACAGAGAGATCTTTTGTGAAAAACAAATGCAATTATTATCAGTGGAATCAAAAAAATAAAGAAATAAAGAAGGTCAGGCTTGCCCCTAGAAGGGAGAAGTTGAACATTCAAATCTTGCATATGTTTTTAAACCCACCAAAGAAAAAGTCAGCAGCGTAAGTGACACGTTGTGGAAAAAGATTGACTATCAAAACTAAAAAATGAAGCACACTTAATCTTACTCATTCTAAAGTTTTTAAACCTTTAAAACAAGAATAAAAGTTATAGGAAAGACATATTCAATGCTTTTACAGAAACTTATCGATTAATAATTAAAACCAGAAAAAGATTAAAGAACAATTAACCGATGTCTTGGAAGGTGAGATCTGAAAACGAAGTATGAAATACAAGTCAACTTGTTACAGAAGAACATTTGATAAGGCAAATAAAAATGATAAATTATGAACAGGAAACAACAGAAATTTTTTCTTCTGTAATAGATTATAACTAGAATAGAAAACCATGAAACAGAACCTCGCTCAAATGTACAGTGCAATAACAACAGCAGGCAAAGCAAGATGAACTAGTAATTTACCAATTAGGAGGCTACGGAACTAAGCTTCTCCACACAGGCCTTTTAGAGACCACCAAATAATTTACCATATTTTGACCTCTTAAAAGAACTATAGAAAGAGCAATTGCAATCATAATAATTGTCAAATAAATAACTTGCCATATCTTATCATTATGGAAACAATTCCATATTTTGTCACTCTTAATTTCCATTAACATTCAAAAATAAAAAGAATCTCTGATTTTTGAAAGGCAGCAATTATGTATTTTCAAAAAATCCCATAAAAGTTACCTGAAAATGAGAGCTATTGAGACAGCGGGCAATCTGTCTGAAAAGAGAAACCATGCAGCGTTGAAACTCTGCAGACTGCGTAGCTTCTAGCACTTCCTCGAGTTCTCCAAGGAAGAGAACTTCCTTTTGGCAGTTGGTTAAAGGCCAATACTTTAACAATCCCCTAATAACAGTATCAGCCAGTTTGAAATCCTTCTCCACAAACTGTGTGATACAGTAAGACAGCTGCTGATGGTACAAAGCTATTGGTTTTGGCTTATGCAGCGGTAACAGTGCCCGAGCAAGAAATAGCTTATGCTCCTCCTTCATAGGCAGCGCAAACCCATTTATAATACTACCAAGAATCTCCAAAAGCTCTCCAATACCACTGTGCCTCTCCGTCTCATATATAAATCGATAGAATATGTTGTTTATGGCCTTCCTAATAAATGGACGATGCACCATGAACTTCCCATAAATCCTATGCAGAATTGTCTTCAAATACTCCCGCTCTCTATGATCCTCAGAATCAAACAAATCAAGTAGTTTCAACACAAATGAATGATCGATGTATCTCTTTGCAACCTTGGTGTCTGTATCTGAGGACACCACATATCTCAACAGTAGTTCATAAACCAGCTGCAAATGGGACCAAGAGGGCTCCAAATATGGCTCCTCCTCCTCAGGATCAGTAGGCTCCTGACCCGTGTTTTCGTGTGAAGCAGGAGGCAGACACCTGAAGATGTTTACCCCAACCATTTTAATCATCCCTTCTTGGCACACCTCTGTAATCTTCCCCGACCCAGATTGTATGAAGTCTACAATCTCCAACAAAGTCTGCCGCTTGACTTCCTTCTCGCGGACAGATTTCAAGGTATCGGAGAAATCGAATTGAAAGCAACAAATCTGCAGTTTCCTCATAAACAGAGTTTGTCTCTCTGACACAGGAACGTCCCTAAACGAGGGAAGGAGCTCCACGGTGCCCGTAGGAGCGAGGACCAAGGCAACTATAGAATCAGGTCCCGGGGGGGAAGGACCAGGCCGGGACGCGTGGTTTACGACCACATTGGCTCCAGTACCGGGGCCAGGATTACCGTATCCGAACAAAGAAGAATCATTGGCCTCGGATTTGGAGGGCTTCTTGTGCCCTCCTTTCATAATTTTCTTGAACATCGAGGAAACAAAACTTAAACCCTGATTTTCCAAACAGACTATGTTTCCGTTGTCGACTAATCGAGCTAGGGATTAGGCAACGATCAGCTCGCGATCCAGTGGCGGCGATTGAGACGCTTAAAGGATCCGCATGCATGGAAGGAATCAACAACCCTGCCAAATCTGAATCAAAATCCCCCTCCTTCCCCTTCCTTTCAATCAAACGGCGATGGATCTAAGAAGAGTATTAAGGAAGAACAAGAATTGTACCGTTCATTTACAAATCGAACGATTCGAATTTCACCGTTGATTGATCAGAAAGGCGAGTATCCAAGCAAGATCGCCGGAATGCGGTGAACTGATCGGACCGTGATGCCTGCCGGCGATAAATCGTGCGCAGAAATTCGAAAGAGAAAATGGGAAGCGAGGAAAGTGGGGAGGATAATAATTAAGAATAAAAAAAAGAGAAGAAGAAAAGCTTAAACACAGAAAAAGGGAAAATAAATGAATGACAACGATTTTATAGACAGATTTTTCTTCTTCTTTTTTCTTTTTTTTTTGTGCCGTCAGATTTTTAAATGCATAAAAATAATAAACAGATTTTTGAAGAGCACTTTAAATCTGAATTAATAAAATTAATTAATTTAAAAAAAATAAAAAAATTAAGATATTTTAATAACTTAAATGGAAGGAATAATAATAAAAAATGAAAACTATTTTGGTAATTATAATGTAAAGAAGATTTATAAAGTTTAATAGTATGCCAATAATTTTTTTATAATTTTTTT